ATGTAGGTCAGAACATAAAGGTCTGAATATAAGGGTCAAACTCCAAGGGTCGGAATATAAGGGTCAAAATACAAGGATCAAGGATCGAAATAGGGTTTTTTTTCTGAAATAGGGTTTTTTTTATAAAAATTATTTTCCCTATCCCGAATGTCCTCTTCACCCGCAACCTTCAATTTGTTACCCCCTCTCATAATCACCATGTAAAATATATGTTAAAGCCCCTGGGCTGTCGCTATACTTCATAAAGTCCTGTATATAAAAACTGTAAACATTTGTTATTGTTTGTAAATATTCGTATTTATGTTAATAAACATTATTTGACTTTGACTTTGAAGGATCAAAACATAAAGGTCAGAATTTAATGGTCTAAATATAACAGAATTAAGGTTCAGATGTAAGGGTAAAAAATAATGTTGAGAAATAAGGATCAGAGTTGAGGGTCAAAATGAGTTAGAAAAACTAGGGTAAAAAATAAGGGATTCAGGGCTTTTCACATTTGTCCATTGGCATTTGTTTTATGAAATGTATGAGTAAATTAATGGTCTTTTAAATTAGTATACCTCACGGAACTTAAATCAAGCGAAAGATCTCAAAATTGGATCTGTTTCCGATCTTATAATTTAAGATCTGAACGGGTTGTTATAATATTCCTATAATGAGACTCGTAAACCATCTTAAATTGCGTAAGATTTCATGTTAAGATCAGATATTGATATGATTTTAAGACTGCAAACCGGTCTTAGATCTTAGTTTCAGACTGCTCGTAAGACCGGAGTTTTTGCAGCTCTTCATGCATTTACTAGATAAATTATTAGAGAGTGAATAAGAAAAATCCTTGAGTCTGAATTATAAACATAAGCAGGTCATCGCTCGTATTCTGCTTAGGGTGCGACGCATAGTTTTTAGTAGAATTTTGGTAAAAATTCCCGCCCGGTCAGTACACTGATAGAATGATTCATTTATTCCAAACGAGATTCGTTAACTATTAACGAATGGTAGAGTTGAATATGACGAAAAGAATATTCGTTAATAGTTCACGAATGGTTCACTTGAAAGGCGAAAGTCAAGTCAAACAAGGCTCCTCAAATATACATTCGTTAATTATTAACGAATGAACATTTGGTTGGACCGAATAGACTCTAACCTCCAACCAAAATCCATTCGTTAACAATAACTAATCCGTTCTATCAGTGTACGTTTCATACGATTACCAGATAATTAAGAGGTAGATTTAAATAATAACTTATATCCATATATAGATCATAATCGACTTTGAAGCCCATGATAGAGAAATCGTGACAGTTGGAAGAGAAAAGATATTCTTTATTGAGTGAACATTGAACATCATATTTGTCACCTATGATGTTCAAGACGGAAAGCATAGCATTATAACCTTTGTGTCTCTTCATATTCCATTACCTGGGCACCGCCCGCGGGTCAAGCCCCATTAACTCCAACGCCTCAATTTATTGCATTGCGATTCGGTAAATAGCCGAGGATGCGTGTAAATCAGGCGAATGGCGCAAGGTAATGGATGATCATATTTATTCATGTGCATGATGCGGGTGAAACAATGGTCTTGACCTTGAGGAAAATGTTATAAATCTGGTATAATATTTCAAGCAAAATGAATGATGTGGCCATAAATTAATTTCTTTCGATATTTATTTATTATTTTTATTTATTGATACCTGTCCCACAGGGATAAAACCCTATGGCAGGGGGGGGGGGGGGGTACATTTAAATTCTCATACATAAATTCATTTTCATAATAAAATAGACAATGTTAGCCTTGGGCTTAATTTAAGTTAACAGCAGATTGCAAAAAGAAGTCATACGCAAGACCGAGTATATACAGAAACAAGACATTAATATTATAATAAACTAAACAGCGGAGCAGAGCATTTCATTATCTTTATACATATATATATATTTTTCTCATTTAATATTCAAGATGGAAGGTTCGAATTTTCATCGCATTCTTAACAAAGTTGTGTACATTTCTGATCGCATTTACAGATCCAAGATTAGTGTGAAGTAAGTCAATAAGGGAATTGTCACAATCGATGTCAGCAGCATTGTTTATAAATTGCACAGACATATAATTTAACCAAAATCTACGAGGAGCTGAGTAGAAAGGGCAGCCTCCAACCTCATTTATTCAACCTCATTTAAATTACACAAATTACATTTCTCCACAGGAACAATCTTATGAAAAACAATCTCTTTCGATAACATTCACGAAATTTTGATCTCAGGTCCTTAATATATCCTAAATTCAGAATATTTGAGTGTTTCGACAATTTCTTCTTCATTGAAATTCTTTTCAACGGTGTGTTAGTAAATTCTATTGATCAGAAGAAACGTTGACACTTTCTTTGGATGGAATTGGTCAAGGATAACAATTGCGGAAGGGGTGACAGACATTAAAAAGCAAAAAGTTCATTCGTTAATAGTTAACGAATGTATATTTGAGGTGCCTTGTTTGACTTGACTTTGGTCTTCAAGTGAACCATTCGTGAACTATTAACGAATATTCTTTCCGTCATACTCAACTCTGCCATTCGTTAATAGTTAACGAATGTATATTTGAGGTGCCTTGTTTGACTTGACTTTGGTCTTCAAGTGAACCATTCGTGAACTATTAACGAATATTCTTTCCGTCATACTCAACTCTGCCATTCGTTAATAGTTAACGAATCTCGTTTGGAATAAATGAATAATCCTACCAGTGTGGTTTCATTTCATTAACATGAAGAATTTGTTCCTCTACTTTTTATTAATCTTTTGTGCAATTGAAAATAGAAAATAGAATGATGCATATTCCCTTCAAAGAACATCAAAGTGAAAATTTGAAATTTGAAATGAATTTCCGTCAATTTTTGAGTTCAAAGCTGAAATAAATTGTGAATTTTAGGGATGAAGCAGAAGAGAAATGAACAGAGTTCATGTTTTGATCAAAGTGATATAAAAGTGAAGCAAGCAATTTCATACAATTCACCCGGATAATGATATTCGTGGCTTGTTGAATACCAGAAATGTTATAATTGAAGCGGGTATACAAACCCGGTGATGAGAAATGGTTTATGGGATATTGGGTATGAAATGAGCAAAGGCCGTTTCACACCGCGAAGCAGAGAATTATCTGGCTTTAAGCCCAAAATCTAAATTTACGTGGGTTCAAGGGGTTTTTCGGGTGTTTTATCGTTGATTCCGACTATCGTCTCTCGTCACTCTTCCGCGCGTCAGCTTCTTTTGCTCGTGGACTCGATGAATATGTTGTGAGTGTTGGTTGAAATTTACTCCGGCCACTGTACGGGGAATATAGGAACATCAACGACCCCAATTTTCCGAGAATTGTGCGAGGAGGGAAGTAAAAAGAGAAAATTTCTCTTTAAACCCTTTCCTGTCTTGGCTCTTCATTTAACATTTTTTTAGGCGCCACCATTTTTGTCGCGGGTAGAACCGATGGAGGACATTATTTCGGGGTTAATTAACATAATCCAAATATACTAACTATACTAGTGGTTCCGCACTACCCACACACAGTATAGATTTTGGCGTTTGCAATCTTTGAATTGTTTAATTATTGCAAATTGCATAAAAGAAATTATGAAAATTCATAAATAATCAGCATTACGCACATTATATTTTGCAGCATATTAGTTTCCTTCCCGAAAAAAAGAGAATTGTTGAAAGTTTTGGACTATATTATTCTCATCATAGAATTGACTCTTGGGAGTTGGAAAAAATTATGCCTACTTGTTTATGGATTTCCTTCATATTTATGGAGAAAATTTGAGGTCTACCAATTACCTATGAAAAATCAATCTTCATCGTTCAGTTATTTTGAAATAAATAATTTCTTCATAAAAAATAAATGCTCTGTCAGAATGACGTCCAAGTTCGGAGAAACCTATTTGATTCAAATAAGTTTTATTTAATTCAAGAAAATCATTTCTCTGAGTGTAACCAAAAGATTTTTTTCCGGTTACAACATTGTCAATTAATAAATTGACGTATTATTTTATTATTCATAATTAATTAAGACTTCCATTAATTTACTTTTATTTTAAATTTTAATTTAATTATTTAAATACAATCGATTGATGATTTACAAAATAAACTTCTTCATTCATCTGTACAAAATTTATTCAAGTACCGAATGAACGACTCGATAAATTTATTCAATTGACTTAATGAAAATTGAAATTGCAAAAAAAATTCCAACGCATCAGGAAAAACCGAAAATCTTGTAATTCATCCTCATTTATTACTTAATCCTCCCCCTAATATAAACAATGATCCGATGACAGTGACCACAAAGCCTCGGAAACAAGGCGTGTACGATAAACCGTTAACGTTTCGTACGGTGCGTGAATTCGCCAATGGCCCGTGAGCTCCGCCCCTCCGGCGGCATGCGCGTCTGCTCAACCGCTAGACCCACACAACCCTGCCGGTAACCATCGCAGAATCATCCTCATCTTCCCTCTCACCCTTACACCTTCGCACGTGTGTGCGAGTGTAACCGAGCCAATCACTCCTCGCCCTCGTCCCCGTGTATCAACCATTGGCGTGGGTGGAGTGTTAAACCATCGTCGCGCCCCCTTTTCCGATGAGTTCAAGACAATTTTTACTCTATTTCTCGGTTGAACTCTCGTGTCGCAGTCAGTTGGTCACTCTACGAAGAGTGAGACGCGCACCAGTGACCCCAGAAATCAAAAGTTTTCAGTATTTCGTTCATTCTTTAGTCGCAACGCTCGCGATTCGCTCATGATTTTCCAATTGATAAAAAAAATCAAATTTCCCGCCTTGAAATATTAATTTCCACGGCAAAAACAGACGTACAAAAAAAGTGAAATGTTTTGTTTATAAAAACAATTTTGCAAGTGATAAATTAACGATTTGATGTTGATTGTTGTTAAAAATTTGAAGAATTCAAGTTGTGAAATTTTTTCAATTAATGGTGTTAATTATTGAATTGAGCTAGGGTCAAATCATACATTAAAAATTCATCTGTCATTGCGATTTACCGACGACTGCACAGCCGCTCTTCCAATGGATCCAATCGTGCTCGGTGAGGCAATGAAAAAATAATTTATTTCATGTTTATATTAAATTGTTTGTGATGTTTAGTGGTCTCATAAAGTTAGCCTAGCCGTAACGAATAACTCGACGGTGGCTTTTTAATGCGATAACCTTTTGCATGGGTATGAGGAAGGAGTTCACGATTAGGGGCTAGTGACACAGATTGCTGAGTATACAACTTTGTGGGAACGCGATAAGGTGATAAACCATGGAATGAATTAAAAATACATTTTTGGTAGAAGTGAGCACAAAGACCTATCGATTTCAAATTGTAAAATTGCTTCATTTATTTACTGATTTTTATAGTAGTAAAGTGACCGAGATGCTTCCGACAGATGGAAAATTTTTACAAATTGTTTCGAACTGTAGCAACTGAGCCGGGCAACTCTGGGGATTGTCAACTTCTGGGTTTAGGCATTCATTAGTGTTCAATTAACAACATTTGTCCCCCAAGATCATCAAACACAGCTTGCGGGTGGGAGGATGGAAACAGGCCAACCGACGCTACCGAGTTTACAAAGGACTGATCAAATAGTTTGAATTAGCTTCCGAACATCCGTGGATGAGTTTTTCCACTCTGGTTCACATCATTGGTTTTTTCTGACGCATAATTTTTTTAGCATCTGGAGTAGGTTCGGATTATTTTTTTTTCTGAGGACTTTTAGAGAGAATTTTTAGGAATTGTGATTTTTACTTTATTTCTTCATGAATGAAGCTCACCAACATACATTGCTTTTGATTCTTGCACATGAATTTACGGAATGCGGGGGCAGAAAAATATTTAATGATTGAGGGCATTGCTGGTTGAAAAGGTATTTGTGCAACATTTTATAAAAACAGTTCTTATGAATGTTTTTAATTATTTTGAACTTGCTTCACTGTCAGAAAAACAAGCAGGGGTTCGAGCCTATCCGACAGAAGACATGTCACCGTCACTTTATGCATTATTACTCTCTTTCTTATTTCAATCAATTTCATTGGGAGCTTTCCTGAATGGATCCGTATAGAAATAACTATTCCCCTTTCAAAAACGAAAAATGGTCATTTCTATTGAAATTTCTGTTTTTTTTTTTTTTTTTTTTAATATTCCGGCCCTTTTTGCCCTCTGATTGACTAATCGGCCCTATCCAACCCTATGGATGCGGCTGTGGATTCTACACAGCACCGCATTCGCACTCCTATAGAACATAGGAGTAGCATGGGAAACCACAGAAAACCCATGCCGGTACAGGTGGTCACTATATTAGCGACCTCCCGCTCGCCGGGGCCTCCGGTTGAAAAACTCGGTTCTACGGGGAATCGAACTCATCGCGTGATTCTGGGCACCTGTGACATAAATGCTTATAAAGAATACTAATTATGGTCTAAAGCGTTACTGTTTTAGCTATCAATTTAGTCTTTTCTTTGTTATAAATTGGAATTTATAACAAATTCCCCAGTAAATTTGTGATTCTCTAATTTTAAGTAAAATTAGAGAATCACAAAATCCAACGATTATAAAGCTTATCCATTGGAACGCAAAAATGAACTATCAGGGGGGCAGTTTAGCAGTAATTTCCAGGAAAACGATATTGAATTGAATTTAGAAAACATGGAAGTTCAGTACCTAATTTCGCTGAATTTTCAATTGAGTAAAAATTTAAGAATATATCTACCTAAATTTTTATTTCTATGAATTTTCATCGAACAGTTAAACTGAGTTTTCATTAATTTTGTTATCAAATAGTGAATTTTCAATTACGAAATTCTTTAAAATCTCGGTGGAACTGTCTTGACTGGAACTGACTCTACTGTCTCTAGATAGTCAACGATACTCAACGCTGCTTATTCAACTTTCCTTAGCTCTTACTTGTCAACCTTCGCAGTGTGCACACTCAGGACACTGAAAATTGGCGGGAGTTAAGGATGTTCTACACCCTTTCTGCCAAAATTCACGTTTTTTTAATTTTTCTGGCAAACTTACGATGGAATTGACGTGAAAAAATATAACGTTTTTGCGTTTTGTCATTATTTAATGACTGACGAAATTTTAAGGTGGTGCGAACATTTTCCTGCGTTTTCTCTAAACTTTTAAAAAGAATCACAAAACTGTAGAAAAAACGCATGAAAATTATCGCACCACTACGCAACTTCGTGAGCCATTAAAGAATGACAAACCACAAAATCGTTATATTTTTTCACGTCACTCCCATCGATAATTTGCCAGAAAAATGAAAACAACGTCAATTTTGGCTAAAAGGGTGTCGAACATCCTTAATGTAGCGATTTATTTGACAAAATGAATTATCCATTTTCTATTATTGAAACATTTTCTCTAAAAAAAATTTATAAGTTCGATAACTTCCAATCAATATTGTTGGAAAACGAGAGTGACATGAAATTTTTATAGTCGAAAAAGTTCTTCCCCACAAAATTAGTCTGAAATTCGTCTCCCAAATACTCTGAAGGAATACCTAAAGAAAATTTGTGGATCAATTTTCTAATTTGCTAACCAAAATGTTCTTCTTTGACTGAAATTTTCCTTTCATAATTCTTTTTGGAGAGACAAAATCTCTTCTGCCAACATCTGAATCCTGTTTCGTAATTGTTCCCTTAATGATGATTTTTTTCAAGATTTTTTTTTCAAGGATAGGGGTCAAAAGTCAATAATAAATACCCACTGGCGCCAGTATTCATACCTGAGAATGAGTTCCAATCCTTTTCTCAACAAATTTTTCGTTTGCATTCGGCACAGAAGCACTTATGAAAGGTTTGACGTGGGGAGAGAGGTGATCCTGTGTCAACGGTTTTGCATCTCAAGTTTCCGGTCCCTCGCGTTTTGGGATTGTGACTTTTGGTTTGATGTAGCAGAAGGAGGGAAAGAGAGAGAAAGCGAGAGAGACAGAGAGAGAGAGAGAGAGTGAGGAAGAGCGAGGTTAATAAGGGATTTGTGGATTCTTCCGGGCGAATTGGGTGGCCAACTCGTGCATAGTCTATCCCATGTTCTTTTTATCATTTTTTCGAAACTTTTTTGTTTTGCTTTAGCAATTTATTCGATTGAAATTTCTCGGGAAGAGGTCGACCATCGCAGGAATTAGTTTTTAACGCCCCTACACCGAACCTATGTAAAAACTTGAGGAATTTGAGTGTATTTCCAGATGAAGTGTTTTGGAGCTAGCTCGTTAATTTCGGGCTGTTTGAAGTTTTGATGATTAAAGTGTTGGTCACAGAAAGTAGTAATAAGCTCATGTTGAGGGAAGTCTAGGATGCTCAATTTTCATTGAGTCCTTGATAAAAGTTTGCACCCTCAAAAACCGAAAAATTGTAATCCCAAAAATAGAAATCTTTCATAGTAAGCAGAAGAAATAATTAAAAACTTAGATTTATCGCGCTTCTTTTCAACTAATTATATTATTATTTAAAGGCCCTTGTTATTAGTTTATAGGCACTTGTTTGAATTATTTATGATTCTTTTATCAGCCTTTCTGTCTACTTCAAATACTCCATAAAAAATGGGGTAGGACCATCGGGCTCATTCGGGCTGTTTGAAGTTTTGATGATTAAAGTGTTGGTCACAGAAAGTAGTAATAAGCTCATGTTGAAGGAAGTCTAGGACGCTCAAATTTCATTGAGTCCTTGATAAAAGTTTGCACCCTCAAAACCGAAAAATTGTAATCCCAAAAATAGAAATCTTTCATAGTAAGCAGAAGAAATAATTAAAAACTTTATTTTCTATTCACTATTGAAAGAAAATTGAAATTTCGTGAACAATCTCGTATGAAGTAATTTTCATAAGAGTGATATTGAATTTGATTTAGGGAGAGAATGATTATGAAATTTGAAGTTTTAGGTTGAATACATAACGATTAAGTTTATTCTTCAGTATAAGTTTCGGGTATAGAGTGGCCGACACTCCGCTGCATCGTTGGAAACAAAAAAATGAAAATTTTAAAGATTCAAAAGTGAATGGAAATTGTGTTGATGGGATTCCTTCGTATTTATGACTGATAATTATTTAATCGACGATTTTTTTTATCCTCGATTTTTAAAAAAAGATTTTATCAATAAACTGGAACTATCGTCAGAGATCAAGCAACAAGGCATTTTCGTTCGACGAAGTTGGCGTTACTGTTCTTTGGTATGAACCTATACTACACTATAGTAGCTTTGCTTCTATTTACTATAGAACTGTACATTCTAACCTTCTCAGAGAAGGATTCCTCTCAGAATTCATTCACCGTTCTCATGTTATACCGACATTTTTCCTTATTTCGACAAAAATTCATGATCCTGTTATACATTTTCAAAGATTTCTCAAAATCTGTGCAGTAATAAATTATGAAATTGCAGAGATGTATTCTTGGAATGTGTTCGATGGTGCAAATCGGGTATTTGCATTCCCAGAAAACAATTTTTGCCAGTGCCGTCTAAAATATAACAGGACATCGGCAATTTGTCGACAAATTGTCGACATACTGTTTGCTGGGTTGCTGATACATTGTCGATGCTCATATCAAACAGTTGAAAAGTGACTCTCATGGCCGGATCGAGTTGGCCGTATTCTGTATACTCAACGAGCACTTTTATTCAATCAAGGCAGAATGAAAAAGGCCCAGGAATTGCCCTTATCAGAATTTTTTCTCTCTAAATTCTAATTCTCTTAGAATTCTTTAATGCCTAAAGGAGGTTAGGCGGTGTTTGAGGTGAATTTGAGAGTGAATTTCTGTGGTTCCCGGTAGCTTAGTCGGTAAGAGTGCCCGGCGCGTATCTGGGAGACCCGGGTTCGATTCCCGGCTGGGTGAAGCGGAAATTTTTTCTCTCTAAATTCTAATTCTCTTAGAATTTTTCCAGGCATGCCGGCTGGAACTTTACTTTTTTTCTATCACGGTACGTTCAAAAGGCCCTGACTTGGGCATGATCAGGCATGCCGGCTTGAACTTTAGAATATATTGGTAAGGTGATCATGCAATGTTCCCCTTCAGGCCCTGATCTGACATGCCGTAATCAAGT